TTTTTTTTTTTTTTTTTAGTGTAAAAAGAACTGAAACAAAAAGCATCTCAAGCAAATCAGAGCCACAGGGCCACTGTGGGAACCTCTATGACTCAGATATTGCAGTGGTGGCAAGGAGGAGCAGTGACGATCAGGCCTTGTCCAGTCTCCCATCAGAATCCACGGGACAGGCAAAGGATTACATAAAGGCAGTGGAGAGCCACTGGAGGCTTCCTGTTCAAAAGCTGGAAAATGTTAATCAGACTCAACCAGAAGACACTAACAGCCAGCAAAAACCTCATCCTGGGGAGCGGTTAAAGACAGGGCTTCTAAGTAGGAGCCCTGTCTACAGCTGTGAGTCAGCATCACCAGGTCCAAAGCAAAGTCCACGGGCGGCCAAAACACAACAGAAACACAGGAACTGTGGCTCTGCGGAAGACTCCGACCACCACAAGAGAGTTTCTCTTGGAAGTGATCAATTAGTCTCAGGAGAAATAATAGTGGAAAACAGTGCAGCTGTCAGTGTTTTGCCATCTTTAGAGCTGTCAGATCCGGGGTTACTTTTGAAACAAGATTTGGCAAAAACTTCCTCTAAGGAAAGGTTGCATATTTTGGAAAATCTCTCCTCCAGACGTCTTATGAAAAATAACCCAGCACAGAAGCAGCAAACCAGCTCAGCCACAAATGCTGGAAGATTATCTACAACTCAGGGCAACCTAATCAAAAAAAGAAAGAAATTGCAAAGTTGTAATTGAGGATATAGTGGCCAAATCTGTGAGACAGGAGATCCACATGTATAGGAACTAAGATATAAAAGGAATTAATTCGAATGATTATCTTAAATAAGAAGTATATATCATGTTGGGGTTAGCTTTTGAGCAGTCACCACCAGGAGGATATATGCTTGTTCTAATAATGTTGCTGCTTTCTTGTCGTATTTTATAACTGTCTTCAAACATGATTTTAATGACCAAGAGGCATTCACCTTGACAAGGAGGATACCATTTGTGCAAGGACTGCACAGAGAACAGATACGCCCTTCTTTGACTCATTATTGTGCAGACCTTGTGAGGAGTGTATGAGGACAGTGCCGTGGTGCTACAGGTGTGTTGTGGGGATACAGTAGAGCTTCTCCCTAGTGAAAGATGAAGCTTGTAGTTCTCAACATGTGGTCCTAGCACCAGTATCATGGTCTGCAAATACATTAAAAATGTGACTATTAGGTTCCATCCGGACATGTTGAATGAGGAGTTGGGTGATTCTGAAATATGCTCAAATTTGAGAACCACTGGACGAATGGGAAACTCCCTAGTTTATCCAGCCTGGCTACCATGGCCTCCAGCTCCAGCTCATCAGCTGGGGCCACGTGTGGACATGTACACCCTCAGATTCCTTCAAACTCGTAAAATACGTGGGCTCAGTTTGTGAGTCAGCCTGTTTCCAGGTACTACAGTGGGACAGCCAAAGCACCTAGGGAGCTGTTACCCTTCTAATTGCCGGAAGTTTGTGGATAATTCATCCCAGCATTATGGGAAGACATGGGAGAGGCTTGCCCTTGCTTGCAGCTCAGGCATGCCTCTGTCCATGCCCTTGCACCTCCTTGGTTAGGTTCAGGACAGACCAGAACCCAAAGGGACTCAGTGGCCAGAATTTTCGTTTTTCCATTTAGAAGGCTTTACAGGCAGTTTAAATTCTCTTTACTTGCACAGTCTGCTCTCCTGATGGTGCCACAGGAAAACATAGAGCCTAAGAGTTCAACCTAGAAGGTTAGTCTGCACCCTATTTTGATCTGGAAATTTTGAAGTTTCTTCAGGAGAAGGTGAGAGTCAGTAGAAAAACAGGAAATCTCAGCAGTGTTGTTCACACTGGACATTTCAAAAATAAAATCAGTTATTTTTGAGAAATGGTTCTCTGAAAGGTATTTGAAATAGATTACCAGGAAATACCTTAAGAAGAAAAATCTTCATAATTGGCTTCTTACAGCTCATCTAACAATGAGATGTATGAACTTTGTTACTTCCAGTCATGATGGAGATAGATCAGAATCTGAGGACTAGGTAAAGCCAGTCTTAATGGGGCTTTGGTTGCTAATTTTTTAAAAATAAAGCATTGATTCTAAAGTAACAAACTTCTTTCAGAGGCCATCCATCCATTGTGTCATTTTTTCTGTTTACCATCAGGTGCGCCTTTAAAGTACCATCTCTAAGCAAAAAGAAAATTGAGTATAGTTCCCAAAATGTTTAAATCAGCCCCTCCCCCCAAAAAAGAATACACAACTAGGTTCAGTGTATGTTCATGCTTGAAATGAATGAGTACCCTTCCCATATCTCTTTTCCCTGAATGGGTTGTGCAAGATGAGGCCCATCATTAGGCTACCACATATCATGGCACTCTTGTGTCACGAAGTTCAGCTGTGGTCACAAAGCCTGGCCTTGAGTGTCCACTACTTTGGAGGTCCAACCCTGCCTGAAAACTTGTCCTTTTCCTGCAGTTCCAGCCTTGATACCCCTACTAGAACCGTATCGTAGTCCTGCCCCCTAGGATTCTTTGCACTTCCTTTCTAGCTTTCTTCCAGCTCCCATCTGACTCCAGTCAAGTCTGTAGAGGAAGAGTGAGCCCTGTAGAATGCTAACCTCAGCAGAGCTGGTTCTGCTAGTACAATGGGGATAGACTGCTCAGAATGGAAACTTCCTGAGAAGTGGTAGAGCATTGAGGGCCCATCATAGGCCTTCTCTATTATAATGACCAGTGTTCTAGATAAGCTCTTAACTGAAGACAGGACCACAATGTGTCATTGAATCATCTTAAACAGAAATAAGTATTACATCATTTTATAAACAGGGAGGGCACAGGTAATCCCACTGGTGGATCAAGAAGTCACTCTCTAGAAGAGTATAGAATAAAATCAATGGCCCTACCAGAAGCTGTTGCCTGCTGTAGAAGTAGAAGGCAATATTGGAAGTGAAATCACCAGAGGATGTTTTCTTGAAGAGATTTTGTTCTGTTAACCTAGTCTTGATGGTTAAGACCAATATGTGTGCTTGTAATGATTTCTTTTCAAGAAAAGTTTTGGGTATAGAGTTTGTTAGATTCAGTAAAATAACAATTTCTGTGCTCTAAAGGGGAAAACAGCACCCTTGGGTTATAGATAGATGTGGTCTTTCTCACAGCCTTTATGTACAGTGGTTTTTAACAGGATTAACGGGAATAGGACGTGGCTTTCAACTCCCACAGTATGGCATATGTTTGAGGAATTTTGCCTTTAAGCTTTTTCCTTACACATGTCTGAAACACCCCTGGATCTCTTGTTACTTGAGTGATTGTGTGATTCTTTGGGTATTTGGAAGTACAAAGGGGAAGATAGATGCCAGGGTTTTTTTGTTTCTTATTAGGTGGGATATGAAGGCTTCTCTACTGTTAGGAATGGTATGTATTTTGATATTCTTAATAATATTACTAATTTGGTCTGAAAGTCTGAGACCTTGTCAATATTTGTAGTAAAAAAGAACAATTCTTCAACAGCTCAATACTCCAAATTAAATTTGTATTCAAATCCTGTGTGCTAGGAGGAGAGGTTGATCAGATTGAATCAATGTAATAATTTTGAACTCTCTTTAACTTGCTCAGTGTCTTTGTTTCTAAGCCACCTCTTTGTGCTTTCAAATGCCATTTTAATAGAGATTAGTTTTATTTTAATAAATGTCCACAAAAAATGTCTGGAAAAAATCTGTGTGATTTTTCTTACATATTCTTTTCTTTGCCACTGGAGGTTAACTGTCATCCAGATAGACATGATTCATTAAATGCAAAGGAGCAAACATGTAGGAAGAAGAGAATAAGTTTTTCAGTGGTTTGGTTGTACCCTTGTTTTAGTACTAAAAAGTATGGAAAATAAACGCTTTTTTAAAAAGCAAGTTTGTGCTGGGGGCTGGGGGTGTCATTCGGTGGTGCAGTGAGTGTTGTGCATGCACAGGGCCATAGGTTTTATCCTCAGCACCCCCCTCCACACACACTCTCTCTCTCAAATTCCCAATCTTTGATTTGTGGAGAATATAACGTATCTCTGAATGAAATTTCTCAGAGTATGTCATGGGGACGACAATGGGATCACCATGTAATTGTTTTCTTGTTGGTATCATGTTTGGATTTTAGCATGGATTATTGTGCATATCAGTGGCCTTTTAATTTCAGAAAGTTTGGTGAGAGCAGATACACATAAGGGAAGGAAAATGTGCCCAAGAGAATGGTCTGGGATCATTGTGGGCGTTCCAGGATTCCTTGCACTCCTCGGCAGCCCTTTAGTAATATTTCCACAAGATGAGTGAGTGGCCCTCCTCTGAGATAACGAGGGGCCTTCCTGTGAGCCACAACTTTTCTGTTCAGCATGCTGTGACTTGAATGTGGAAATCATCTTAATTTCTTCTTTTCTCTTATGAGGAAATTTCCATGCATGGTTTGTCCAGACAAGAATTCATTCCTTGGTATTGAAACACTACTGAATTTAAAACATGTTGAAGCAAGTTGAAAAATCACAATTAAGCTGGTTCCTCTTAAACAGTTTAAAGCCTTCCTTAGTACAAAATAAATTAAGCATTGTAAAATGAAGTTAATGCAAGTAATTAGTACAGAAGTCTAACCATA